TTTATTAAAAATATATAATGATATATCCCCTCATTTTTATTGCTATCAAATTGATTGCCTTTAATGTAAATTTAAAATATGAAATGTTGAAGAAAGGTCAAAATAAAAAATTGTCTTATTTTGCTTGATTTTGTGATTAAGTAAGAAAATTTTAATTAGTGCCTATGAAAGAGATATCTAAAGAAAAAGAAGGAGGATGAAAAAATTGAAAAGAAGAAATTGGGAGAGAGGACGAAAGGAGGAGGAGAAAAAGCACCCAGAATATGGTCAACATTTTTTATATTTAACTATGAGGCAAAAATACTCTCTTTTAAAAAGTTCAAGGTAAAAATATTTTAAAAAAAGTTTATGATGCCAAGTACTTCCCAAAAAAGAGTTTTAAAAGAAATATACCATTTCACCTTATTATTAAATAAATTTATTTCATAAGATTAAAAAATTATTTTATTATAATTTACTAAACTTGTATTAATATTTAATAAACTACTGATGGAGTATTATTACTTTGATTACATCAAGAGTGGTGACGTAGAAACGCCACTTCTCTCTCTATTATTTAATTTCAATCATATTAAACAAATATTATATTATAATTTAATTAATTTTTATGTGCAATTATTATATATGATTATTTTATAAATAAAGTAGGAGAGGTGGCATTTTTTAAGACATTTTTAGCTTCAGAAAATGTCGCCTCTCTAATTTTTTATTAATTAAATATTTTAATAATAAATTATAAAATAATACTTTATTATTATTAATTTAAAATTTATTATTAATTAATATTTTGTAATTAATATATTATATAAGATTAAATAATTATTATGATGCAATTTATTTAATCATTAATTATTATTTTATTATATATTTAATAATTTATTATGAATTAATAAATAATATTATTTATAGATATAAATTTTTTAATAAAAAAGAGAGGTTGTATTTCTAGAAATACCACCACTCACACTTTCTTAATTTTATTTGTTAAAATATAGACAGGTGGCGTTTTTCAACTTCTGAAACGCCACCTCTTTGATTGTAATTAATTAATTAAAAATATATATTTATTACTAATGATAATTAAATAATGATGTTAAAATTATTATATAATATAATAAAACAATATAGTTAAATTAAAAAAATTAAATATCTAATAATGTTATTCAACTTAAATTTGTGACATTTCATTTAATAAATGCCACCTAATATTATTTATTTAAATTTAAATAAAAAAAATTTATAAGCGATACCATTTGATAAAAGAAATGCCATTAAAGATCTTTATACTTAATATTAATAGTATTTTATTTTTTATTATTATAAAATATATGCTACTAATTTCTATTTCTATAGTAGTGGCTATAATTTTTTATATATAGTTTTATTGTGACATATGTAGCGGGATTCAGTATGTTGAATTGCTTTGGCTAAAAATAAAAATAAATATGATCAATTGCACTAAATATACTTTTTTTATTAAAAAATATAAGAAATTTTTTAAGAAATTAAGTGTTAAAAAATAGAAGACATTTTTAATCTTTTCAGGTGTAATTATAATTTTTTTTCAAAAGCGTCCATATTAATTTAATAGGAGTAAATATAAAAAATAAAATTAGTTTAAAAATAAGTAAGCATTTTATTGGGGTGATATTCAGTTAAAAATACTTTATATTTTTTTAATCGAAAGAGTACCTATTTTATTTTGGGTACAGCTCAAATTTTACAATGAGATGTTATTATAATTTGATAATTATACTTTGAAACACAACCAATGTCTTAAAAAATGTTTTATATTTTTTAAATAAAAAATTATATTTCAATATTTATTTATAATGTGAATTATGTAATTTTCAAAACATGAAAATAAATTCCAATTTTTTGGAGCACAAACAATTAATTTAAAATATATGCTTTTTTTCATACAAAAATTAAAATTTGCTCCTATGTAATGCACGGAAAAGATTTCATTATATATGACGTAAAATATTGTAATTTTAAAAATATTAATCTATTGCAAATTAATACAATGATTCCTTTGATTTGTTTAGTAAAATCTTCAGCCCATATTATTTTCTAATTTATTTAGTATTAGTTATTTATTATGTATTATTTTATCATTTTAGGATGATAAAATATCTAAAGCATGCAAAAGCAATTATATAATAACTAAATAGAGTCTATTGTATATATTGTATAAGATGATGTATAAAAGAAATGGGTCTCTCTTTTAATAAATGAAGAAAAAATTATCGCTAGAAATTTTCAATAATCAAAAAAAAGAAAAGAAAATAATCAAAATTTCAATGGGCATTTTAGTTTATAAGAAAGGTTTTAGATGCTTGAGAGAATAAAATTATTATTTCATTTCATTATAAGTGGTTTTTTTTCCCACACCAATTGTAATGACATCATCCAAAACCTATACCTAATCGTCTCTTATCATATTAGAAAAGGACTATAATTATTATGGTAAGAAAGGGACTGGTGTCAAGGAAAGAATTGACCTTAATCCTATAATAATTTTAAAATAAGCTTAATTAACTAGCATGAATTCTTACTAGGATAGAAAAAAAAAGTTTTCACTTATCATTCAAAACTAGCATAAGCTCTTTTTTTGAACATAAACATTACAAAGTAAAATGAAGTCAAAAGTACTAATTAAAGATAAACATTCCTATCATGTGGCAGCAGGGTTGTTCTCTGAACCATGTTTCTCAAGGAGCTAGTGATCCTTGCATTTGTTCCCTTCTCAAAGCTCCATTAGTCATTCCTGCGGCATTTAAAATAGGACTGAGACAATGTCTTCATAATCTTTTTGAATGTTGTGGTTTATTTTGAGTATAAAATAACCCGAGTGAGTGGATTTTCATAATCAATATTTATCATCCCTCTATAAATATTATTAAATGATACTATAACATGCTTGAGGAAGGAGTAAACATATATTGAAACATACAAAAATATAAGAAGAAAAAAAATCAATTAAAAGCTTTCAACTATATTTTTTTTAAATCGAACCCATCATAGTATAAATAATAGATTAAAGTGATGCCAAAATTTTAAATGAACCCTCATCTTTTTTTAATTTCTTAACTTCATGCATATTTTAAAAAAAATATTAAAAACAACATGCGATTCAAAATTTGTTGTCCATTGCATATTAGTAATGTAAGAAATAACATATTTTATTTTATAATTGTTTATTCTTATATATATTAAGAACAAAAGCAATACTTATTTTATCTCATAATGGTTTACCTCATAGTTGTCAAACTTTTCAGTTTGCTCTTTGAATTTAATATTTTATATTTTTAATTTATAAAATCATCTGAACTTATTTATAAACTTAAACTAAATACAAATTTAATTAAACTCATAACTTTACTTTCAAGTTTATTACTTTTACATTTATAGCTTACAAAATTAAGTTGACCAATTTATAAATTCGAATTAGATATAAAGTTAGTTAAATTTATTAAGTTCGTTGATTTTTTTTTTCAATTTGAGAAAGTTAAATATATACTATAAAAAATTTGGTTAATAAAAGTTAAAGGATCTGGTTAAAAGAAAAAAAAGGTAAAAACTAATATTAACAAAAAAAGAAGAAAAAAATACTAAGTTTCCCTATTTTAAAATTTATATATTTTGTATGATAATTTATTAATGTAGATGGGTTTAATTTCAATATTTTATATTTTAAATATATTTTAATCAAATTATGGTTATATTTTATATTTTAATTATTTAATAATCAATTTTAATGGATATTTATTAATAGAGGCAAACTATTATGAGTTCATGATTTGAGTTTGCAATCCAAGTTTATATCTTTATCATGTATTTATTTGAACTCGTTAGTTTTCACCTCATTTGATTTAAAATTTTAGTGTAAATAATCATGCAAAAAATCCTCCTTTTGTTAAGACATATAAAATATTTTTAATCTATCTTTAAACTAATCCTATTTTTTTATATTTATCTTTATTAAATTGGGTGTTTCACCCTAAAATATATATATATAATGATTTATTCAATAGGAACAAGTTTGATAAAAAAAAGTAATTATTACACCTTAAAAAATTAAAAACATCTTACATTTTTTAATATTAAACTTTTCAAAAAATGCTATACATTTTTGAATGGAAGGAATATTTAGCAAGAGTTTTAAAAACTGAATCGATTATTGAACCATACTAGCTATTGGTTCATGGTTCATTGGTTCAACCGTGTGATTGAACCGGTTGACATTAAATTAATATATTTTTAATTTATATATCATAATTAAATAAGAAATATATGCAAATATTTATATTTTTAAAAAATTAATAAATGTTTTGTAAAATGATATATTATTAATGAATACATGATTAACATTAATTATTCTTGGCTATTCTTTGTTTAAATTAATTTTTTTAAATTTTTAAATAATTTAAACTGATTTTTAAGGGAATAATTCATTTTTTTAATCGATGTTTCTGATTTTTGATTGATCTCTTTTTATTGTTGACTAGTTTTCTTTTGGCTGATTTTAAAAAGTTAACCAAACAGGATTAAAAGTCAATTCGATTTAATTTTAAAAACACTGGTATTTAGTAATTTAAAACTTCATGAAAATTAAAATTTTTAATAAAATATTATATCTTAAAATTTATTACCTCATACATCATGTATAGTTATAAGTTGCTCAAAAAAATTTAAAATTTAAAAATAAAATAAAAAATCTAAAATAATTTTATAAAATTAAAAAAAAGAGCTAAAATAAAAGTATGACTAAAAAAATTTTTTATGTTGTTAATTATTTTTTAAAATATGGTTTTAAAAATTTATGATTAAAAATATTTTTTAAGAAAAATGATTTGAAAAACAGTAAAAATATTATGTATAATTGCTTTTTAGTTTCGGAAATATAAAGGAAAATTAATTTTACTATACATTATACTTCACCGCTATAATAATAAAAGAATAGAGTAGTAGATAAGGACTGATTGAGGGGATGAAGATCAGCCCTCTGGCAACCTCGTTAATTGTTTACACACCTCACGACGCAATCATAATGAGACGACGTAGCGACGCAATCGGATCGTATCTCGTTCAAAGCTCGAACCGTGCAGAGATACTGGCATGCGAAATTCGAATCGCCGAAATATGGAATTGTCGTCGTCGGAGAAGAAGCTCATCCTCGTCCAGTGCGATCCAAACGGCGTCGCTCTGATCACGATCAATCGTCCTGGTTCTCTGAACTCGTTGACCAGGTCGATGATGGTTGACGTGGCCCAAGCATTCAAGAGGCTGGACGGGGATGATTCGGTGCGAGTAATCATATTGACTGGCTCTGGTCGAGCATTCTGTTCAGGTGTGGACCTGACCGCGGCGGAGGATGTTTTCAAGGGTGACGTGAAAGACATTGAGTCCGATACGGTCGCTCAAATGGAGCGCTGCCGCAAGCCGATTATCGGGGCCATTGGAGGGTTTGCCGTGACGGCTGGATTCGAGATTGCGCTGGCTTGTGACATTCTGATTGCTTCGAAAGGAGCTAAGTTCATAGATACCCATGCGAGGTTCGTTTAGAATTTATATTCTTTTAATTTAGTAAATTAGAGACTGATTTCTTATAAGGTGATTTGGATTCATCCATGTTTGTGCTGATTTTTATTTTGAAGTTATAGGGAAACCTTCTTGCGCCCGATCCTCTAGTCTACTAAATTGATTTGGAATTGACCTGATGGAACTAGAAATTGCAGGTTTGGGATTTTTCCTTCATGGGGTCTCTCTCAGAAGCTTTCACGAATTATAGGACCCAATAAAGCCCATGAAGTATCTCTTACAGCAACTCCTCTGACAGCAGAAGTAGCTGAAAAGCTGGGTCTTGTGAACCATGTTGTTGAAGAAGATGAAGTTTTGAGGAAAGCTCGAGAAATTGCGGGTCTCATTTTAAAAAATAATCAGGGCATGGTGTTGAGGTACAAGTCAGTCATAAATGATGGCCTAAAGCTAGACCTTGGTCGTGCTCTTTCTCTGGAAAAGGTTAGATATCTATCATTACGTCTATGTAAATAAGATGGATCGAAGCTTGAAACTAGATCATTTCAAGTTGATTTGGTCCTCTGAAGGAGGGCCTTATCAAAGTAGACTGTGGTCTTTGTTGTAGTATATGTTTGATTGGTGCTGAGAGTTCTAGAAGATTAATTAACTGTTACTGTTGTGAAGTTCACATGCAAGTCTACTTTTCTTTATGCTATGGTCATGTTATAGCAGTTACACTTGAATCAAAATGCTGTATTGCTCAGATCGTTAACTTTAGAATTTGGCCCCTTGAAATTAAATACCACTGATTTAATGAACTATGGGCTACAAGATAAAATGGTGAAATTTTGTGTAGAAAGAGTTGGGTAGAGTTGATATGGGAATTAGAAGCAGAACCCACTGAATTCCCCTTACGAAAATACCCTTATCCTTTGGTAATGTGGTGAGTGCGCAACAAAAAAGAACACAGATTTACTCGCACCTCTGCTTGCTCTTTTCCTCCTTTCCCTAAAGTCCCTCTCTGTTTATTTTTTCTTCTGTAGAATGCGAGGAGGTCACTTGAGCGTTAATCTCACTGCATTCACCTATTTAAAGAATTAAAAGAGTACAATTGATGTGAGATTAAATTTCAGACACACAATCTAATTCTTAATGTACCTTCACGAACTCCAAAATATTTAGTTCAGATTCATCTCGATTCTTGAAATGCACTTTCTTTGAACTCTAGTTGCAGACTTGCAGTGCACATATGGAAATATATCTGTGCTTAATTGAGCTTCCTAACTTACTGTGATGTAAGAATGTTCCTTTAATAACTTGTTTGCTTAGCCATCGGTTGTTGTTTAGATGTTTTTTCTTTCAGAATTTTACTACTTATTCGGTTGTTATGTCACATTTTATTGTGTTCTAAAACTCCCTAGGATTTTTTTGTCTGCTGAGCATGTTTTAGCACTGAAAGCTCTGTCTCTGTTCATTTTTGAGACATGCATGCTTTATGCTCGCTTGGGGTTTGCTGTTGACTACTAAGAAATCAAAATTGCAGTAGATTTCCTTATTTAATGCTTGAAAGAGCAAATGGTGCAGATGTGTAGGAAATCCTTTTGGATCATTTTCCCTGGCTATATCACCTCCTTGTTTAAATTGAAATCAACCGTTAATTATTTTCAAACTTGTAATTCAACCATGCGCAAACTCTTTGGAGGAGCTTTTAATATCAATTTAATGATGTATCAATTTGATGGAATGATGTCACTGACCACAGTTTTCTTATGGATAATTGCAAGTTTTCCCCCATTCCTCTTGGTTATATAGATATGCTTGCAGTTTTGCATTGTTGATTGTTGATAGACAATACTAATGTCTGATTCTAAGTATTAGGAATCATCAAGTATAATAATATATAATTATATTTTAAGCTGAAAATTCTGGGGACTTCACTATCTCTTTGCACCACTCATTTCTCTATCTCATGCATGTTGAACACATTGCATTCTTGATCTCCCTGTAATCCTCCTCAATTTTTTCACATTCATTTTGCCAATCTTCCTCGTCTACCCATTGGTAGCTTTACGCTGTGCAAAGCCTAGCTGTTCCATAAGTTTCACGAAGTTCTCTATGTATTTGTGAATTTCAGGAGAGGGCTCATGAGTATTACAATGGAATGACGAAGGAGCAATTCAGAATGATGCAGGAATTCATAGCAGGTCGAAGTTCAAAGAAACAATCCAAATTGTAGGCTTACCTTGTACTCCTTTCTCATGCTGTCAGAATGATGTTGGTTGCCCCAGGAGGTGGATCTTGCAGTCACAAATGGAAGATACAAAATCAGCACTCATAGTTTATCATCCTAAAACGAACTACATTCCTTGCAATACTTGTTTGGTTTTCAAGAAATAGGTTCTTTCTCGAGTCATTTCTTAAATATTTTATTTTTCTAATTTATTAAGTGGTTGTATATTGTCTTGGTATGTGTACTGCCATGAAATGGGGTTGGCAGATGATGTAGTCTCTGCAATGCACGTCAAAATAAGCTTCTTCTTTTTTTTTTTAGATTAGAAAAGGCAAGCCTAAGGCTTGAAAAAGTATCACTAGAGCAGCCTGATCAGGCTCTTAAGCTTATCTATAGTTAACACGCCCACCAGGGACTTGAGAGGTAAGAGTGATTTCCAATCCAGTCCATGACCTTGCTTAGTCAAAACATCAGCACAGCGCAAGACTTCTAGGTATGGTTGGTGAATCTTAACCTTAATGTTGCGATATATGAGGTCACAGATAGTATTAATTACATTTCTTCAAGGATGATGTGGGCCTCCATCTCTAGGGAGCTTGTGCTTTGCTTCTAAGGTAACGTTTGGTGCGCAGAATTGAGGAAGTGGATTGGATTTGGAATTAGGTAATATCAAGTTTTTATGTTTGGTAGGTGAAAATGGCAAATTTATTAAGTCCAATCCTATCTTAGTAGGACTACCCTAGTGTTGGAAAATTAATCTGAGGATTAAAAATTTTCAGAGTAAATTGCCCTTTTATACCATACCCCTCTCTCATCTATGTCATCTTCTGTCTCCACCTTTGCCATCGACAATGATGTTTTACCCCTTGTTGGTGGTGTTGTCTTCAAGTAATGGTAATGTTCAATTGCCATCTTCCACCCATAACTTCAATGTTCCACCTTCCTTGTGTACTCTTCATCCATTGTAGATGCATTGAAGGCTTCTCCCTCAGCAACCTTAACATCGCCCATAGTTCTTCCTCTTCCTTCCACGTCGTTGTAGACAATGATGGCATTGGTTGATTTCAAAATTGAGACATCAACTATGAAGTAGAGAGATATTCATCGAGCCTCAATTCCTTGATGAGGTACACAATGGCAACAAAATTTAGGTAGTTCAAATTTTCCTTTTTCTTGGTCTAGATCTAGTCGATTGCCTTGTTGCATCATGTTTTACTACCTAGTTACAATCGCTTATCTGACTTCCTTGGAAGATTCAGATTTGAGGATTTGTGGAGATTGAGGTATGGCTGGAAAAGGAATAGATAATTGTGAAGACACAAATTGGAGCGTTTGATCCATGGGGTTGAAGAGGAAGAAGATGACGATTAAGAGCGGTGAAGGACAATGGTTGGAGAGTGAGATAGTGGCCAAAGAGGAGCAACAGTGGCCTTTTGCACTGTCATGATCATTCTTTTGGGGAGAAGGAGAGTGATCACTGTGTTAGATGAGGGGCAGGATTACAATTTTTTCTTTTGAATTTTATGGGGTATTTTAATTTTTTCATAATTTATGTTTAATTGTAAAGGAAAATGAATGGTAAGTATTCCCGACAAATATTATTCTATATTAAATATGATTTTAAAGCCTTATCTTCACTTTTAATATCTTAATCTCATTATCAATCACAGTCCCTTTAAATTGAGACTTGTGCACTAAAAAAAGTCTCAGAGGAAAGTTAGATTTTGGAGTACACCAAATTAAACTCAAACGCTCTTTCAGTCTTCAAACAAGTTCTCAAAATTCTAGGCCAATTGTAACAAATGTATCTTACTTTTTCAAATTGATAAATAGATTTTTTCAAATTTTTTGAGTATGATATTGTTAATTTTAAATAAAGATAGATATAGCATACTGAAAAATATATTCAATCTAAAGAGGAGATCAAATATAGCATGAGTCTTAAACCATAGATGTTTTGGCCTAAAAATGAAAAGCATAGATGCACGTTCAAGCTAAAACTTGTGATAGAAAAATAGAGCCATGCAACAGTAATCCAGTGCTGCATTTTGAAAGTCATATCTTACATTTCAAACAAAATTATATAAGAAGTTTTGTCGACTTTTATAGAGCTATTCATGCAAACCCAAAACCCAATCAAACCCGAGGCAACTTGGTTGAGAGAAAATTAGCTTGAAAAAATCAAACAGGACCACGCTAGACTATCCAGTCAGACCGAGTTTCAGATTAACTCTTCAAACCAAATGGTTTGGTCCAATCTAGTGTCTTTATCTATTTTTATTTTTTAAATATAAAGTTATGACATTTTCACTCTGTAATGGATATGCAAAACTAAATTGAAACTGAAAATTGAACCAAACCCTAAGCTCTCCTTCTCCACTTTGTCTTAGGCTCTCATAACCGCTTCTAGTGTGATTTATTTATTTAAAGACAAAAAATTATTGATATTTTTAAAGAGAAGAAGGTTTGAAACGAAACAAAAATGAGGTGTGATAAAATGAAACTAAGACGAAAGTATGAAGAATGTATTTCCGGATTGAAGGCGAAGAAGCAAGCAGCAAAGGAGGAGGTGGAGAAAATGGAAACCTAGATGGGAACACGGTGATCACAAACTTCTCGCTGGCCTTGCAGTGATCGTCGATGAACCATTTTCGATCCGAGCTTATCACCATCACAACAACGTTTCCACTCTGCCATCCACTAGAATACTGCAACCTAAGGCCTATCCACTTGTTACAGTTTTTTTACCAATATACTGCAGTTACTAAAAGAAATTACCCAAATACTATGACACATAAAGTATTTACTGAAATGCTATGTCAAAAATCATTCATAGAAAATGAGTTTGTAGTTGTGAACAAGTTGTTCAAGTCAAAAATAATTTTAGAGTTGAAAATTATTTTTTTTATTCAACAAAAAATGAAGGTGAACGATTTTAGCTTTTTTCATTGATGTGATATTTTATTCACTTTTGAGAATCTCTGCAATAGTATTAGATATATATCCGAGTATGAATCTAGTATATTAGTAATGATATTAGATATGCAGTAAGTTTTTTATCTTCTTTAACTATTAGACAACTAATTTGTTTAAGTGTTTCTAAATTATTTGAATAAAAATGATAAGTAAATCATTGTTACTAATATTATAAAGAAATTATTATAAGGTGTATTAAATTAAAAAAATTATTACTAATAAATAAATAACTATTGGGTTTTATGAAAATTAATAATGAATGATTAATATGAATATAAAAGTGAAAATTAATTTACCTCACAAATAGTGACTTTTGATAGTACATTTTGTTTTCCTTCTCATATATTGTAGTCATTGTTATTGTTACATGTTCCTTTTTTTCTTGAAATTCAAGTTTTTCATTTATCTGTGTAATTGACGTATTTAAATCAAATTAAGGTGATTCAACTAAAGAAATCGACCATCAAGGGGTGGCAAATGCTTCATTTGATGTTCTTCAAAAGTAAAAGTATTGTATTCAACCAAAAATAGTACAGGATCATCAAGTAAAGACATAAACGATCCAAATTGAGTAGAAGTGAGTGAGTTGAAAATGGATAATGATGAGGATGACATGTAATGAGACTCAAATTGAGTGAAATTGAGAAAGGTGAAAGGGGTAAATAATAATGATGAGGCTGGCATATAATGAAATTAACTAAAATTTTGAGGCTCTTGTTCCTCTACATTTTCATTTTCAATTGGTTGTTGGGTCGACAAGTAGTCATTATGTCGTTTGTTTAGTCTTTCTCAAAGAATCTATAGATGAAGCAATTCAACTTTTGGTGAAGTAGGTTGAGGGTTCTTGTTAAACTTTTGTTCTCTAATTGTAAGTAAAATGTTGTGTTAGTCTTGAACAACCCTATCTTAATAATCAATGCAATGAGAACATTTTGAACAAGAATTAATCACTAGCTTGTATAACTTATCTATTATGTTAGCTTAAAATAAACAATAATACATTAGATTATAATGGCTTTTTTAAAGGAAAATAGATGGTATAAATGAAAGAAGGTGAAAAACTTATCATATATCCAGTATCATTAATAATATGTTGGATCCATCCTCAGGTACATCTCTAATACTATTGCAAAGATTCTCGAAAGTGAATAAAATGTTACATCAATAAAAAAAGCTAAAATCGCTCACTTAGTGAACAATTTCACTTTTCATTTAATAAAAAAATAATTTTCAAATCTTGAATCGTTCTTGGCTTGAATAACTTGTTTACAACTCCAAATTCATTCCCCATCCAAACAATTTTTGGTGTAGTATTTTAGTAAATACTTTCCATGCTGCATCATTTGTGTAATTTCTTTTAGTTTCTATAGTATATTGGTAAAAAAGCCACTAGGTACATATGGTACATCTTTTTCTTTAGTTATGCTTGTTTTTCCTGTTGTTGATTAACAATTAATAAATAAAACTATATAATATCTCCTCTACTAATCATAATCAACCAATTAAACTCATGGTAAATAAAGGATTAACTCATTTAAGAGATTACCAAGTTTTTATTTAAAAAATCAAGGAGTCTCAAGTTTTCATAATTAAAATGAGTTAAAACCATTTATAAACTCTAATATTAAAGTAAAAACAAGTTAGGGAAACATGTGATACTTTAAAGGAGTAAAAGAGATTGAAAACAGTTGAAAAATATCAAGTTTAATGAACTAAAGGGCAATGCGTACGGCTTGTACACTCTGCACAGCAACATGTTGCTTTTTGTGTCATACATCATGGCTTAGACACTAATACACCATGGTGTGTTGCACATTTTTGAGAGCAAATTTTGCTGTCATTCAACAGCAGAATCGGGCAACCTCTATTGTGTCCTAAATCTTCATCTGACATTCGAATGACATGATCAGGTGTTTATGAAAAGCTCTTTTCATAAATTAGTTAATGATATAGGTTTTACTTTCAAAACAACTCACATCAGAAAGTTGGATATCCAAACATATTTTTACCACTTTTCACAACTTTCACAGATAAAAGGATATCCAAAATGCATAAAAAGTTTCAAAAGCTATTCCTAACACTCAAACAATATTTATTGGACCTAGAACTACTAATATAACACATTATAAGCACACAATCATCAATATAACATAAAATTACTCTTCAACCCCTTTAATAATAAAAATAGAAAGGAGAGGTAATCTATTTGCGTTGCCTCAAAAATCATTTGTTTCATGATCAAAACAACATTTTTACACTTGCACTAGTATTTTGGCCTTATCAACACATATAACTTAACACACACAATCACTTAGGGCCTAAAAGACAATACAAATACTTAAAA